GCTCGAACTCACGGACGGCGAGATCATGACCTGAGCCGAAGTCGGACGCTCAACCGACTGAGCCACCCAGGTGCCCCCCCCCTTCTTTTAAAGTAAAAGAAAGAGGGGCGCCTGGGTGTGACTCAGCCCGTTAAGTGGCTGACTGTTGGTTTCGGCTCAGGTCATGACCTCCCAGTTTGAAAGTTCAAGCCCCGCATCGGACTCTGAGCCGACAGTGCGGAGCCTGCTTGGGATTCTCTCTCTCTCTCTGCTCCTCCCGTGCCTCTCTCTCCCTCTCCAAATAAATAAAGAAAGAAAGAGAAGGAGGTCAGGGAGGATTCCTTTCAGCCGTGATGAAAATGTTCTGGAATTACTGGTGATGTGTGCACAAGAGTGTGCAAACGCTAAAAGAAGAAAGACGTGAATTATATGTCACTAAAAAATAAATACAGGCAACAAGAATATATATATATGTTTTTAATGTTTATTTGCTCTTGAAGGAGAGAGATAGAATGTGAGTGGGGGATGGTCAGAGAGAGAGGGAGACACAGAATAGGAAGGAGGCTCCAGGCTCTGAGCTGTCAGCACAGAGCCCGACGCAGGGCTTGAACCCACAAATAACCTGAGCTGAAGTTGGATGCTTCACTGACTGAGCCACCCAGGAGCCCCAATAAATAAACTTAAAAAAAATGAGGTCACTAGAGTGGGTCCTAGCCCACTGAGACTGGTGTCCCTATAAAAAGAGGAATCTGGGGGCACCTGCGTGGCTCAGTCAGTGAAGCAAGCAACTCTTGATTTTGGCTCAGGTCATGATCTCAAAGTTCATGAGTTCAAGCCCCGCATTAGGCGCTGTGCTGACGGCATGGAGCCTGCTTGGGATTCTCTCTCTCTCTCTCTCTCTCTCTCTCTCTCTCTCGCTCTCCCTCCATTCATGATCTCTCCTCTTTCAAAATAAATAAATAAACTTAAGGGGGGAAAAAAAAGGGGAAACTGGACACAGACTCGCACATGTGAGGACACGGGGAGAAGACAGCCATGTGCAAGCCAAGGAGCAAGGCCTCGGAGGAGACCGACCGTGCCCACACCTGGGCCTGGGACTCCTGTCCTCCAGATCCCCTAGGCTGTGGGGCTTTGCTAGGGCAGCGGAAGCAAACACCACCATATACTCTTTCTGACTGAGCCCCGTGAAGACTGTGGGGAGGTCCATCAGAAGCCCGCAGACCCCCCTGGACTCACCTCAGGTTCTGAAGTTTGCAGCTGGGGTGTCTGAGCCCTTCACAGAGCAGCCTCACGCCCCGGCTGCCCAGGGCGTTGTGGTCCAAGAGCAGCTCCCGCAGATGTGGATTCGTGCTCAGAGCCGCAGCGAGCTGCTTGCTGTAGGCATCTGGCAACACGTTCGTCTCGGGTCTGCGTGAAGGAAAGACAGGACAGGGTGGAGCTGGGCCAGACTCCGTGCAACGATTATGCCACACTCGTGTGTCCCTTTCACAATTTACAAAGTGTCATCTTTATGTTTTACGTTAAAAAAAAATTTTTTTAGTGTTTATTTATTTATTTTTTTAAATGCTTATTTATATTTGAGAGAAAGAGACAGAGGGCAAGTGGGGGAAG